ACTCACTCACTCACTCACTCACTCACTCACTCACTCACTCACTCACTCACTCACTCACTCACTCACTCACTCACTCATCAGTAGAGGTATATGGGAGCCTGCATCTGTTTCAGCAAGCAAAAAGTCGCCCTGCTGGGTGTGGAATCTACAGATAAGGCCAATCTGAAAACCTGAACTGAAAACAAATACATTGGTCACACTATCTCCAGATTTAGACTTTAAGCCATTAAAGTGGCTCAACTGGCCTGCTTTTATTTCAGTTACAGAAAACAAGCAGATCTTGAAGTCGCAAAGAAAGAAAGTTACAATTTAAAAGCAATTAATTGTATGTTTTTATTTTCTCGTTGATTTTTAAAGAGGTTAATTTTGACCAGGGGTTATTTAAAGTATTAGAAACAACGTGCATTTTACTTCGGATAAAATTCGCAAGCGTGGGGCAGTGTTTGTGTAATTATTTTTTCTGCCAGTAAGAGGCAATAAAGAGTTGCACGTTTTGCAGTCACGTGTAACAACAGCATTTGGCTCCTCCCTCGGCCTCCAGCTGCGTAATTTTATTTTTACGTACCAGCAGGGGGCGCTCGCAAACGCGTCCACGTCCCTGTGACGCGTAACCTCTGACCCCGGCAAGTTTCCCACGTGGTTCAATGGACGGGAGCGAAGAAAACGTGCCGGTTGTCGAAAAGAGTCCAGGAATGAAGAAGAAGGAGAAAACGGACAAGAAGAGGAGTTTGCAACACGAGGAGGAGGATCAGGTGAGGGACATTTTGCTGGGACGAAGGAGACTGGATGAAAGGAGTGAACTGGTCACGAGCTGGCTGCTAGCTGTTAGCATGAAACAGGCAAAGCAAAACACTGTGTTGATGATTTTAGCCCCATTCCAGATGAAACTTTTAACATTTTCCAAATATAGTTAATGACGAACAGGAGTCAATTATGGTTCTAATTAAACTTCGACAATCAAATGAGCACAGAGTTTATCAAATTTTGGAAGAGCTTGTTTTGGTTATAATGATCACTTTCTCAATGGAGATTTGACCACCGATGTGATGTTAGTTTTTCCTGGATTAAGTAACAGCTGACATCTTCTTTTCTTGATTAACATAAATGAAAATATATATATATTACTGCACTTAGCTGTTTTGCAGTTGTTGTGCTGAGACCCTCATGCTAGCTTTGTAAACACACAGCTAAATTGCACTAAGAAACATTTGTTGTTGTTTTTAGCTTGCAAACAAAAATATAGCTGACTTTATTCAGTGCCTCATAGTTTTAAGAAGTATTGCTTTTACTTTTTAATACATATTTCACTATAAAATCATTATCAGTTTTGCACAACTGTGACTGACCGACACAAGTTTTATAGAATAAAATTAGTTAAACTCTGTAAATGTTTAATTATAGGTTATGGCTACAGTTTTAATGTGTTTTTTGAGTGGAGTCTGGTGTGAAATGCCCCTCTTTTCTTCAGCTCATCGAATTCAACAAAGAACCTGTCGATAAAGATGAAGACGATGACGATTTATCAGACAGTGAAGACAGTGTCTACTCAGGACTGGAGGAGTCTGGGAGTGACTCAGAGGAGGAGGAGGAGGAGGGATTAGATGAGGATGCAGATGAGAATGAAGACGATCGAAATCAACAGGTAACGTGTTTCTCTGTGTAATTATTGACATGTGACTCTCATGTTCAGCCKGTAAAGTCACTCATGCTGTCCTCTACAGACAAAGATAACGAAGAATACAAAAAAAGAAGAGAAGGMTGAAAGTGAAGTAAAAGGAGAAGACGAGTATCAGCATGACAGCTCAGATGAGGAGGTGGGATGAGTTTATTTTATTCTGTGTTCCATTTGGTTTCTGTTTATTCTCATGTGGCCCCGTCATCTCGTGATTGTCATGTTCTGTCATGTTTTCTGACRTTCAGGACATCAGAAACACGGTGGGCAACATTCCTATGGAGTGGTACAAAGACTTTCCTCACATTGGCTATGATCTGGATGGAAAGAAGATCTATAAGCCAATCAGAAACAAGGATGAGCTCGATGAATTCTTGGACAAAATGGAGAATCCTGATTACTGGTGAGCTGGCTAGCTTAATTATAGCTTCACAGTTTCAAACGGGGGAATGCTAACGATACGAACATGGTTATTTCTGCAGGAGAACTGTTCACGACAAGAAGACGGCGAGCGACATCGTGCTGTCAGACGAGCAGATCCAGCTGGTGAATCGTCTGCAGAGAGGACAGTTTGGAGACATCAACTTCAATGAATATGAGGTACGTTTAACCCTCAACTTGTCCTTTTCAAACACGTTAAAGTCGTTGAGGAGGAAACCAGTAAATGCAGTAAATTTACCTTTTTTTCTCTCAGCCCACAGTGGAGTTCTTCAGTAAAGATGTCATGATTCATCCTGTCACAAACAGACCTGAAGACAAACGCAGCTTCATCCCGTCGTTGATTGAAAAGGAGAAGGTAAAAAAAAACAAAAACACAAAATTGCTGCAGCTTCTATGTTTTATAACCTTCCAGACTCTACCTGTCTGATAACCTGTCTGCAGGTCTCCAAACTGGTGCACGCCATCAAAATGGGTTGGATTAAACCTCGACGGGTGGAGGATGACAGCAAAGGGCGATACTACGACCTCTGGGCCAGTGAGGACTCTTCTATTGTAGCCAAACACAAAATGCACCTTCCAGCCCCTAAAATCCGTCTGCCTGGTCACGAGGAGTCCTACAACCCCCCACCTGAGTACCTGTTCACAGAGGAGGAGGTCTGTCGTCAGTTACTGCCCTTTAACAAATGAATCAGAGTAGATCTCTGAGATGACCTGTATGTTTGATCCTCCCGCTTACAGAAAGCTCTCTGGGAGCAGCAGGATCCCGTAGACAGGAAGCTGCCTTTCATTCCCAACAAGTTCAACAGCCTCCGTCAGGTTCCAGCGTTCTCTCGGTTTATCCACGAGAGGTTTGAGCGCTGCCTCGATCTCTACCTGTGTCCCCGGCAGAGGAAGATGAGGGTAACGGCCTGTTAGTTCGTGCCCCGCCCACCAGGCGGCGCTGCGTGTCACCGCTGTGGCCTCACTGATTCTTTCTCTCCCTGCCCGCAGGTGAACGTGAATCCTGAAGATCTGATCCCCAAACTTCCCAAACCAAAAGATCTGGAGCCGTTTCCAACAACTCAGTCTCTGGTAAAAACACAGAAACTTTCTCAGTAATCAGATGATTTTAATCTGAAATGTTTTACTTTTTGTTCTTGACACWCGGACTTACCTGTGTGTTCAGGTGTATCGAGGTCACAGTGGTCTGGTTCGGTCCATCAGTGTGTCTCCAACAGGACAGTGGCTTGCTTCAGGTAATAACATCCATTTATTCAACCGAACATCACGTTTTCTTTTTTTCTTTTTTTTTATTCTCAATTAAATTATTTAGCTGTGTTCCATGCAGCAGACTGACCTCATTTTTGAGTTGAAATTCCATTTTTCAGGCTGTCAGAACGTCAAAAAATGTTTCTGGTTTTTGTTGTGACGGAATAATGCAATAACACTTGATACAATAGTGTTCTACGCTGCATTTTGAGTGTAAAACAGCATTAAACATAATGCCTAGGGCTGCGCGGTATATGCGACAGACAGTAGAAACGATATGAAGTTGGCCTACGATAGAAATTTACCCTCTACCATCATATCGTCAACTGAGCGGGAGGAGTTGGTAAAAAAAAAAAGAGAGAGAGAGAGAGAGAATAAAATTTCCACCTCCCGCTGCACGTCACGCAGAGCRAAGCTTTAACAGACATAGTTTTTTCACAGCCAAGTTGTCTGAAGAAAAACTTGTTTTATTTATGTATTGTTACCCACAGAGATGATAAAAAAAGAGATGTGGACGTTCGATCAGTCGTAAATCCATCTTGCTGATGAGTCGTTTCTGCTCTGAGCGCAGCTTAGCAGCAGCTGATAAGTTCAGCTGGCGGGAGCTCATTGTAGGGCAGGCAGATATTACATTTATTTTGCTTCATGACACTTGCATTCCAGTTATCTGAAATTGTTTTATGACAGGACTATGTGCAGCTTAATATGACGGAGTATTAGGGCCACACAACGAGATTTTTTTTTATTATTATTACGAGATTAAAGTCGTAATTTTATGAGAATAAAGTCATAATATTACGAGATTAAAGTCATAATTTAATGAGAATAAAGTCATAATTTTATGAGATTAAAGTCATAATATTACGAGAATAGAGTCATAATATTACGAGATTAAAGTTATAATATTA